AGCCAGTTTCGTACTCCTCTATGCGAGAAAACATGTTAAGAGGCATCGGTTAGCTGAAAAAAATCAAAAAATAAAGGCTTACCTGCAACGACCTCGGAATATCCGAAGGAACTAAATTATAAATTAAGCGCAGAAGTACAATAAATGGTTAAGGTTTACATTCCTTACACAATAACTTAAAGTACTGAATAGTGTTACGGGAATTACCCTTTTGAAAAAATTATATACAAAAAAAGAAATAAGCATAAAATAAATAAAAGTAGCATCATACTCGCAACCCTATTGTAGATCGAGGTTTGGATCTTGATCATCTTAATTTGAAATGGTTAAATAAAAAATGAGCTACAATAGCCCAATAAGAATATCACGCTACTCACCGACACATAAATGAAGGTTGGTAGAAAATCAAAACAACTAATAAAGTACTTAATTAAACAAATGCATTTATTAATAATAAAGTTATTTACCATCCACTTACCGTAGCAAGATTTATAAAAATAATTTATAGAGACAGCACCTGTTATGATTTTATATGCAATCGGTAACATGCACACATTATAAATCCATATTCAATAAATCAAACAACAATTGTTCATTTCCATCAGCTTACTGGTATCCATGGGGGTTCATAGGGATGTTCTCACTACGCGTGGATTATTTCCTTTAATATTCTCAATTAACGGTTACACAATAACTTAAAATACCGAATAATGTTACGATAATTACTATTTTAAAAAATATACAAAAAAAAAATAAGAAAATAAGCAGAAAATAAATAAAACTAGTATCCTACTCGCAACCCTCTCGTAGATCGGCCTCTGGATCTTGGTTCTCTTGATATGAAATGGTTAAATAAGAAATGAACTATATTAACTCAATAAGAATATCACTCTACTTACCGACACAAAAAGGAAGGTTGGTAGAAAATCAAAATAACTAATTGAACACTTAATTAAATAAATACATTTATTAATAATCAAACTATTTATCGTCCACTTACCGTAACAAGATTTATAAAAATAACCTATAGAGAAAATAACATCGCACCTATCATGATTTCATATGCAATCGGTAACATGCACACATTATAAATTCATATTTAATAAATAAAACAATAACTGTCAATTTTCATAAGTCTGCTAGTATTCATGGGGTTCATAGGGATGTCTCTGCTACGTGTGAACCCTTTCTTTTAATATTCTCAATTAACGGGTCGTCTCCATACCCCGTCCGATATGAGTGTCAAATTACTAAACTTCAATATCCCGTTCGATATGAGGGTGAAACGAGTCATTTCCATACCCCATCCGGTATGAGCGCTAAATTACAAAATCTCGATACCCCTTCCGGTATGAGACAACGTTCATGATAGGGTTCCTTATTGTACCCGGTTCATCCACCATCTCTTAGGATATCCAGTAAGACTGTCGTTTCATCTATTCAATTAAGCACATAATTTTCCATTTTTATTTAGTCTCCATTTTCCAATTCAATGGTAATCACATAAACCAAACAATACATGCATTCAAAACTATAAAATCAATCAATAAAATACTATCATGCAATTAACTGTAAAATAATTCAACAGAATCAAAATTAGATAATTTCTGATTATGGCTCAATTAATAACCCGTAATTAATTATGTATATTTTTTAAATTACACAAAATATCATATTATTATTTATTTGAACTTCAATTCTATAACAGATAATAGGGTGAGAGATTCTTACTAAATTTGATACCTAAAAAGTTAAGCTGTTGAATGCGCCTACCAGTGGTCCCCAGGTTCCCTAAATTTTTCTTTGAAGATTAAAACGCATTATAAGTACCTATAAATATCCAAAAAACAGTGTCAGGATCCGAACCATCCACACACGCGAGAATAAATCCAGGCCGTCCAATCGCGGTCACGCGAATTGCCAACGTGGCCTTTTCGTGGCACCGCGCCAACCTGCTTTGCCACGCAGCGGGCTCTAGTTGATCGGAGCTGTTGATTGGGCGTCATACGTGACATATTTTTCTTAAATTGCGTTTTGACATTCACTTTTCGATTTTTCTTTTAAAAACACTACCAAAACCCAAATTTTTACTCATTTTTTTCAAAATTATTTTCAACTTCACCCTCCACCTGTTTTTCTTTATTTTTATATTAAATAAAATTTTAAAAATTATACTTATACATTAATTTTAAATATATTAAAATTAATTAAGGATATTACATTTAGGTTTGTACATAACACTTTAAAAAACATATCTTACTATCACATTTGAAGTTAGGATAATTTAATTGGTAATTAAATTATTGCTTATAAATTTATAATAAATTAATATATAATTAACTCATTACTCCACAAATTTTTATCGCCTTATTAAATTCTAATCAAAAGTTAATAAAATTAATGGAATTTAACTATTTTTTCAATTAGCATCATTCATTTATTCAAAACAAATAATTAAAATAAAATTAATGATACTTTATTAAACTAATTATCAAAAATTGACACCTAATTCTTAAGTTTTTTACATTTTGGTCAAGGGTATTTTTTTTATTTTAAATATTTAATTTCTTTCTACTTATTCAATGAAAAAACTAAAATAATTATATCAATTTGGGTATTTTAAAAAGTTAATTAAAACAAATAACTTCAACTAATTAAATAAATTCATATATTAAAAAATTAATAATAAATTATAACAAATAAAATTATAATAAGTGAAAAGCTCATAAAATAATTTAATAATTCACTCCAAATTAAATATATACATACACAAAATGTTCAAGCGCACATTGGGTAATGACATGTCAACATCTTCCTTTTATATTGGTAAAGCTAGAGCATCGTTCCTTCCTTTTTTATTGGTAAAGCTAAAGTATCATTTATTCTTTTTTACTATAGTTTTATATTCATTTTTTAGTATAATTTA